TTCTACACCACACAACACAACTCCAGCCGAACGCGTTCAATTGAAGTACAGAACATGTACCTAAACTGCACACATGCCGTGCATCTGATATCAGCCTAAACAGACCTACAAATCGACAAAATGTGCAGTCAAAGTAAAAACAAATGCGGGTATCTTTACAGATACATAATTCTGGTTTTTGGCGGGAACTCGACTGTTGCCGGTAGATTACAGAACTATTGGTCAAATTGTTCAAATAAAATGGTATACTTTTTTACGGTTAGAAACAATGAAACAAGTGCTTTAATATTAATGTAAACCTCAAGTTATTTTGTCTGCTTAGACACATTGGGATAATATCGTCATCTATTGTCTGCACAAGCTGCCGTCAAAATCTCCCAAAAACTTCGCAACGTGATGTATTCACATATCGTAAAGAAGTTTTTACAGGACAATTTCTGGACATTGGCAAAAATCTAACCGTACGAGTTCATTAACAAAGAAAAAGATGCATATTAGGCACTTTAAAACTTTGAAGTTGGTACCACAGAGTACATTGTATATTATGCCGTAGCCAACTAGTTTAATTAGTCTTTCAGTTAAAAGTCTGGCCATTGAACTAAAAGGCGCCATTGAACCAGCATGTGGAATGATATTCAGCCTATGCGTCTAATACAACATTGCACATATTTTGTATTATCACCGACAGTAGGTTAAGGTGTAAATTATATCCGATAGCGAACACTACACATTTTTTTATTAACTATGACATTGGGACGTCGTACACCTCAGTCCCCCCCCCCCCTGACCATGGGTGCTGTAAAGTGCTTGAAACGTCGGGAATGTAAAATAAGTTAATATACGCGATAAAATCCGTAAAATTAATTTTATTTAAATGAGCTCCTTGGTTGCGGATACACGTCCTGATTATTTTCTTAACGTCGGTTTTCGTTATTTTTGAAGATATTGTAGCCCTAATCTGCTCTGTCTCATTTAAGATACGCCTTCGAAGTTCTTCAAGAAAATTAACTAGGATCACATAGAATAAGTCATAGGCGTAAGAGCAGGACTTCGTGCAGGCCACGGAATTGGCCCTGCCCTCCCAATCAACCTGTTTATGTATTGGCTGTTTAATCACTCTCGTACAGATAACCGGAAGTGAGCTGGACAGCCGACATACTGATAAATCAAATTACTTTTAATTTCTTCTAGAACATCTACTAATAAGTTTTCCAAATCATTGCGCAAAAATTTTCTTAAATTTCCCCGTTTACATTTTGTGACATAAAATAAGGCCCAATAAATGTGTCATTTACAATACCTATCCACACATTCAAAGAAAATCTGCGCTATGACGCTGTTACTTTAAGTTTATTTGGATTTTTGTACACTTTTAGTGCCCAGTAATGAAGATTATGGTAGTTTGTAATACCATCTCGGTCAAATTTGGAGTCATCCGTCCATAGGATGTTTCTTAAAAGATTTTCTTCGTCTGCGTCGGCGTTCAGCATGAAACAACAAAACTGGAGTCTACTGGCTGGATCGCCCTCGTACAGCGTTTGTACTGGTTGGTAATGGTACGGATGTCAGCCTGACAGGTGCACCATCGACCATGCCCTCCACTAGGACATACCCAGCCGGCGTGCTACAATGTTCGTTGAGACGTTAGGGTCATCAATAAAATATTGCATAATAGTTTCTTTTCTATAGAATAAGGGTGACAAAAGAACACACAAACAACCTGATGGTAAGTGGTTGCTGTGGCCCATAGACAACTACATCTATCTTCGTTTACGAATTAAAATGCAGATGCGTTTCCAGCCGTGAGGACTAAGATAGAATGCCTCTTTTCTAGTAAAAAGGGTCTCCGGTTCTCTACAGTTACCATACGAAACACAGCAGCATTAAGCTGCTATTTTGCGCTGGTATTCCGTGAGAGCGTTGTCCTTCGCCAGTCGTGCCTACCCATTCGTGCTACAACTATACTATTAATATAGCTGCAGCATGGATCAGAACGTCAGCCGTAAAACGTCGTGGTCTGCTAGTATCCACTTGATTTCTATGAATAGTGCCGCGTTCACTTAATCGTCAATAGATAGCTCCGAGGACAGAAACGTGGGGAAGCCGGTGATCAGGAAAACGCCGTTGATATTTTCTACGAGCCCCAGCAGCGTTGCCGTCAGCAAAACCATAACAGTACATGATGTCAGTATATTCTTTATTAGAATATGACGCCATTTTAACTTCGATGCACAAAAATAGTAACAATCAACAGTCAGTAACAAATAACGGTAACATCAATAATAACAATAACGATTGAAAACATTAACAAACGAATGAACGCTATGAGAGTTTATCAGAAGCAAGTTTAAATACGTGCTTGCGCGACCCAACAACCCAAAAACACACGATCGAAAAATGTATTTCATATACCAAAAACCAGGACCAATATTGGTAAAAGAGCACCAGTACACAGAATGTGTGTCCTCCACAATAAAATGCTTAACGACATAGATATGTTCTCTACCTCCCGTTCAGCTTTCAAAACTAAATTAAAAAGTACTTTCGTAACAATTATAAATTAGATATGCAAGGATATTTTAGTATTGCACATTCTAGATGACTGTTTTCAGATGATTGTTTTCTTTTTATTTAAGTATAGACTTGTAACTCTGCTTGTTGTGCAGACGATACTAATTACGACGTGCTTCATAATATAGATATATAATATGTTCTTAGTGAGTTTGTAGGGAACAGTTGTAATTAGTATTGTCTTATTTTACTTTGTGTTTTTCTTTAATTTCTTTTGTTTCTGTTTTGTCTCCAATAAAGTAAATAAATAAATAAGTAAATAGATAGTCGAAACTAACTAACGAGCGTCGCTGCACTCTATTTAAAATGGCAGTCTGCTTTCTGAATAAGATACATGAGGGTAATATGGTCACCTTAGGCTTTGCCGCCCTATAAAACCAAAACTAGGAGGAGGACAGAGACAAATACACAATGTAGTATACTACAACTAATATAGAAAAAAATAACAGACAAGCCTTGGCAATAATTAGCAACATTTCGAAAAATCAACTTAAAAAGAACTAACTATAGTAGGTGAGGATAATATGGTCATCCGGTTAATATGGTCTTTTTCTTATAACTCAAAAACTATAGCGTCGTTTGCATAGAACGCTCTGTGGTACGATAGCTCTTGATCAGTCTCTCAAATAATAAAGGGTCAAAAAGGCGCTCCTTTATTGACGCCATTTTGATAGTTGATATTATTGTAAATATTTTAGTCGATTTTTGTATTGTGTAGTGTGGTTAGTTTTTTTAAGTAGATTTTTCAGTGTTCTTAATTATTTCCAAAGCTTGTTTGCTATTTTTTTCTTAATATATTAGTTATAGTATACGACTTTGTGTTTTTGTCCCTTTTCTCCTCCTAATTTTGGTTTTATAGGGCGATAAAGCTTAAGTTGACCATATTACCCTCACGTACTTACTATAATATCAACTGTCAAAATGGCGTCGATAAAGCGGCGGCCTTTTGACCCTTTATTATTTGAATGACTGATGAAAAGCTATCGTATCACAAAGCCACCTATGCAAATTAGGCAGTAGTTTTTGAGTTATAAGAAAGTGACCATATTAACCGGATGACCATATTACCCTCACGTACTCTAGTTATCAACATCCAATCGGACGCTAAGTGACTAAAAGTGTGCAAATTCGTTCCTAAGAGCAATCATTCTTTGCCGCGCTCTCTACCTAAGCGGTAAGTAAAAGACCCTTTTATTGTTATTACCCATAGACTTCACAGGGATATTATTACCTTTTTGGATAGCTGATTAAATAGGCATGTTTTTTAAAATATTTATATGTCTCATGTGATAGTATTTTTTGAAGTAGGTAACATTTTATGCTATATTAGTAGTATAGTTGTAGCACGAATGGGTCGGCTTGACCGGGGAAGGACCACGCTCTCACAGAATACCAGCGTAAAATAGCAGCTTCATGCTGCTGTGTTTCGTATGGTGAGTGTAGAGAACCGGAGACCGGAAGAGGCATTCCATCTTAGTCCCTACGGGTGACAACGCATCTGCATTTTGATATGCAAACGAGGATAAATGTAGAAATATCTATGGGCCACAGCAACCACTTACCATCAGGTGAACTGTGTGCTCGTTTGTCACCCTCACCCTATCCTATAAAAAAAACATAAAGTGTAAAAAAAAACAGATTTTTTTTAATAAGACCCATAATTTTTTATTGAGAATACTTTTTGTTATTTTCATGATTGTCTTTGCTTGGTTGAAGCTTTAAGAATAAATGAACGTAAAAGAAAGCATACAAAAAAGGTTTTATTTTTATTTAGAATTTAATACGAAATTCTGGGTGAATATTGAAAAATCTTTAAAATATTTTATTTTAAAACCTGAATATCATCAGAAATGTATGGCTGAAATGATCAGGTTTTGAGGTTGAGTCAAATTTGTAGCATTTTGACTACTACTACACTATCACGCCTGCCAGGAAGTTGTCGAGTTTCCAGTAACCCTGTATAATACTAACCGTTTTCCGCGACTTCTCCCTCGTGTAATTTAGGTTTTTAATTTTTTTTAACCTTAATTATTTTTCTAAAATAAAAGTAGTCTAAGTTACTCCTTATAACATCAACTATCTGTCAGTGAAAGTGCCTGTCAAAATCGGTCAATCCATTTCAGAGATTTGCCGGAACAAACAGACAGACAGACAGACAAAATTTTGAAAATTGTGTTTATGTTATAAGTACCATATATACTTTCATATACATTTATTAAAAAGCTGTTATTTTGACATTACAAACAGACACTTCAATTTAATTTATTTGTATAGATATAGATAGTATATAGCGCTAATAAAACACAGATCAGCGACCGTCTCGTTGAATGACATTAATAGGGTGGCCATGCCATGTAATGTCTAGGCTTTTAACTGAAAGTCAAATTAAGCTAGTTGGCTGCGACATATACAAGAAAGTTGGTACATACTGGGGTCGTGCGGCGCCTGCAGGCCGCCGCCGCGAGCGTCGAGCGCGGGCAGCCGCGCCGCGTACTCGCCGCAGCGCCGTGCCGCCAGCTCGTTCGCACTCACTCGTCTCTTCTTCCCGCACTCCTGCATGAAAATTAATTATGAGAATTATTCAACCTTGAAAAGTACTTCCGAGTGGCCAGCAATATTGATGATGATGACCCACGCCGATATTCAGAGACAATTTCGAGTTTAAACTCAAACTCCACCATCTTAAAATTTATATCTAGTCTAGACCATAGAAGTGTTAATCCGTGAGGCTTACTATTAGCACTGAGGGCGTACTATGAGCCCTGTTGAATCTACTGTTTTTCTTGGCATCACTCTCGAAGTAAAGCTTCAGTGGGGCCCCCATATGTCCAAACAAGCAGACTAAGTTCTGCAGCCTATGCTATAAAAAAGATTACAGGTCTCACTTGCGTCGAGACATATAGATTAGTTTATTTCATTAAAGCTTTTAAAAGTTAGTTTATTTCAGTTATTTCCATATCATAATGTCTTATGGGATTTTGCTATGGGGAAATGCGGCTGATTCAGAAACTATTTTTGTTTTACAGAAGAGCGCCATTAGAGCTATTTACAACCTAAAACCGAGAGAGTCTCTTAGAGATAAATTTAAAGAAATAACTATATTAACTTTGGCCTCTCAGTATATTTACGAAAATTTTATGTATGTTCACAAAAACAAAGGTAGTTAGTTTTACGAGTAGTAAAAAAAGTGATATACATTCTGTAAACACTGGGAACAAACACAAGCTAGTGATACCAGTTTCTCGACTCCACAGAGTCAGTAATTCATTCTTGGGGCAATGTATACGCTATTACAACAAGCTCCGGGAAAGTGTACAAGCTCTCTCTATAACCAAGTTTAAATGTTTTGTTAAGTTAAAACAGTATAAATAGGGTTATTATAGTATAAATGAATATATGGTTGATAATAACCCCTGGGAATGAGGTGGTCGCTTCCAAGCTGTTTCTAAAATAAATTTTGTGCTTATATAGTTTGTACAACCATTAATGTAAAATATGCTTTTAAAAAAAGTCACGCTGGGTTTCTTGCTGGTTCTTCCCAGGACAGAGATTTTTTTTGAACCAGTGGTAAAGTAAAAAATTACTTTCAATAAAAATTACACATGTGATCTATATTGAATAAAAATTATTCTATTCTATTCTATTCACAAATTCAAACTCGGAATTGTCCCTGAATACCAGCCCTAGTCCGAAAATTCTTCCCTAGTTATATTATACAGGGTTATTTTTAAAGAGTAGCCAAATATTAAACTTAAGTTCATTAAGCCAGTGCTTGAGCACAATCACAATATATAAATAATCATTTGAAAATATGAGTAAATAAGGCTTCTACTTTTATTTGAAATTATCCCAAATTGAATGTGTTACGAATTTGTGGGCGTGGGCTACAAAATGTTTATGAATGTGTGCGCAGTAAAATCAGTTAAAATGATGCATTACCACGCATTTTGAATTTAAAGATAAAAATGTCAGAATATTTGCGATTTTTTTAAATAGTTTTTCTTTAGTATTTGCCTATATTATTACTTATTCTGAACCTTCTCTGTAAATTTGGCCGGTTTTTACAAAATGACCCTGTATATCATTGCCCTACTCGATAAAACCAGCTCTATTCCCTCCCATCCCTTAGTTTATCATTCCTGCCTCCACCTGGATTCTCCTGCCTAAACGTAATACTTTAGTCATTCTGTATTTGAATTGGCAGTAAGTTCCCAGTTTATCTGCTTCCTTTAATTGAACTACGGTATTTATTATTTTACGTCAATATTTTATTAAAATTTATTCATATTAGATAAATAAAATCTAAATGGTTAAGGTATACGTATACAGAAGGTGACCTAATAAGTGCCTTACAATTACATAAAGGCAAAACCTATTTCTCACGATTCACCTTCAGGCTAAATAGAGCTAGGCAGGCCTTTTTTACATTTTTTTTACCTTTTTTTCTTCATCTTATTAATGATTTCTTTACTAGATTAGGGAAACAGATAATCGAAGTCGAACCCTCAAACGCCTGATAAATTAAGTTTGAGAAGGATGCGATGATCTTCTAAAATGACTTAGAAGTAGTATTCAATATTCGTATTCGTTTTAATATTTACGGGAAGTGTAATATTTAGCTAAGTTTTAAAACGCAATAAGCAACCCATTAAACCTGGTTGCATTCTGAATTCAAATCCGAAGAGCTCGATCGTTCCCATAACCTCTTCGTCGCCTCGACAGTGGAGGAGCAACCATGTATTCTAATGTTAAAAAGGGCAGACTAACCTTAGTATCGTCACACAGCATTACGTCATAGGCGGTGCCTTCGCAAACGCTGCCCTTAGCACAGGAGCGACGTCGCTCGCGCGCGCCCCGACTGCGCGCGGTGCAGCCGGAGCGGCACGCGCCCGCCCGCCACTCGCTCCAACCGTCTGCCGTCCCGCTAACTGTGACGGGAGTTTCCGCGTCTGACAACGGCTCTGCTGCCACACACTCGCCGCCTTGGCACCACTGGGACATTACACACAAAATTATAACTACCCTATGGCTATAAGTAAAGGAGCAGAGTACTAGATTTAGAAGAGAGACTAATATTTGATCACATTAGCTACGAAAATCGTTGGTATGTATTTCCAAGCTTTGTGATAGTTCGCGTTAGATAAGTTAAAACTTCTTGACATGGACGTAACAAGAAAGGGACATGATTCCCCCGAAAATCTTGTTCCTACCCTGTAACCTTGGTGACTTTATCTCCACTCGAGAAAAATTTCTAACGCTTTTTAGTACTGCTTCTACAACGTAGGATGTTACTTGGAACCAACATTTTTAGTTACGATTAAGGGAGCTGGAGTTTCACGAGGTTACTTTATTACAACTAAAGATATTTGTACAACTGCAATTTCAGTTGAATGCCGGTAATAATTGGCTAGCTGTCCAATTATCTTCAAGTCATGAATTCGTGAAAAATTCATTCCTAATACTGCCTACGCAGACATTTGAGTGGTCAAGCATATATACGTAGCTTGGCAGAATAAACAGGATGCCATTGGTGTTTTTGTGACTTATCAAAGGCGTTCAAATATATAAATATGATGCCATAAAATGAAATTATTAAAAACAATATAGATACTTATCCTTACTTGGGTTTTTTTAAAAAATTTAACCCAAGTTCTAGAACGGTACATTGTATGATTGACACATATACATCTAACGAGTATTAAGAATCTAAATGAAGATGCGTTGTTATCACTTAGAACTACTACTAATTTATTTATTTAGGCACCAACAAGATATAAGCTTTACAAATTTTTAATAAAAACACTTATCTTAGAACGATACAGCAAACAAGCTCTATGTCTAGGCAAAAATAACAAAAAATAGAACAACTAAAATACAAATTGTCTTCGAAATCTCGTAACATTGCCTGTGTTCAAAAAATAATGTTATCCCATAATGTCTCCCCACGTCCTAATAGTTATGTCCTTGTTCATTTATATTTTGACATTTCGAATAAGGAACGATTCAAGATTGGCTAATTAGTGCATTATTATTAATATAACTTTTTACTTATTTATACTACTCATAAAGTAACAGCATGTTAATTGATACTTACTTTACGCAGGCCGCAGGGAGTACCGGGTAAAGCGGGTCCCGCATAGTAGAAGCCGACGCGGTGCGGAGAGCGGCATACCAGCTGCGCGCAATGCGATGTACTCGCATCTTGCTCGCCGCTCACCGGCGCTGCGTCCACGTCACGAAGCAACACCTGCAGAGTCAAGCATATGAACACCTCTTGGCCGATTTTAACCACGATGTCAACTTCCGAATGGCGCTAGATGCTATCAACTGCACGGAACTTAATTATTGCCGTACTCGTCCTTAGTATATCATCACCATCATTATCATAATTACAGCCCTTAACAAATCCACTGCAGAAATTAAGCATCCTCTAAGGAATTAAACAAAAACAAGGTCCTGAACTACCTGCATCCATCAACTTCCTGCATATCTTACCAGGTCATCACTCCATCTAGTGGAGGGCTGCTCTACACTTACCGGGAGAACCGTTGCCACTCGAGAGCCTTTCTTCCCCATCGGTTGTTCATTATTCCAGCTATGGACCCGGTCCATTGCCACTTTAGTCTACCAATAGTATACACCTTACCCTATTTCTTCCAACAAATAGCTTGCTTTGCTGTATTCCGGTCTGAAGTGTATAAGTAGCAGCACGAAAGTCTAGCGGTGACCGTTATTGCGCATAATTCGCGCTGATTGGCTTGTGCGTATCGTTCGCACACGCTGATTGGCTCTCCAGTCGCATTCGTGCAACACAATTCGTGCGCGTCCCCTTCACGTTGCATACAGCGCTTGACTTACGTGCCGCGACTTATATAGAGAGCGAGTATAATTACACGCATCTGTAGCATTCTTTGCTTGAAGTCGGTTGCAGGTGTCCATAGGCTGTAGTAACTACTCACCATCGTAAGTTAAATTCGTATGTTACTTTAGTTAAATAAAAAGTATACATTAATCCTTGGATTAATGTATACTTTTTATTTAACTAAAACTAAAAAACTAAAAATTAATGTTTTTGCACATTTGTGATATTTAAACCCAGAATCCGCAAAGCAGCTACCAGATTTCAAAGCAAAATATTTTCCTGCTTCATAACCTCTTAAAATGATATATGTATGAACTTTATATAAAATATAAATGCAATACAACTCGTTAATATTGAATTAAATAAAATATACTTGATATTTCCCAACACTTCACAAATAAGATAAGTTTTCATGAGTTTCGTTTGTTTTTTATAAAACTGAAATGACAAACGAACTTACAGTTCACCTTATGGTAAATGGCTACTGCAGTCCACGAACACTTGCAGCCTACTTCAAACTGTGTAAAAAAATCAAAACTGTTTGGCGGCAGAAATAAGTAGAATAGGAAGTAGAATAGGCCGAAAGTGAGTCCTATCACCTAAAGAATCATCATGCTCAAGTAAGAACATATATGTACTCGTATATTGCTCAAACTAGAAAATTAACACACCTTAACATTAACCCTTTAAATATCCTTCCCTTCACTGGCCTGGGAAATTTATTGATATGTAGATAATGACAGTTACACTATGAAGGTGCTATGAGTGTATTAGGCACGAAAAAACGGCAGTCACTACTACGGGTTCAGTGTATCATCCCCGTTCCATACGTATACGATAATGATGCCCGTATGATCGCCTGTAGTTGATTTTGCGTTTTCGTGTCAAACGGAAGTCAGAAGGAGCAATAAGCTGTTGTTGTGAAGATTACTTATAATTATCTTAAATAAATACATTTGATATATGATTTATCTATAGGCTATAAAAAATATCTGTAAGAGAATGAGCAATGATTGCTATTATTTTGGACAATGGTGAGTAGAGTCTACGCGGTTACAACGCGTTAGGAAGCCTGCGCAGAGCGATTTGTGTGCCATGCACGGAACCTGTCGGTAGAGCCATGTTGCAGCTTTATTATGGTTGTAGCACGAATGGATCGGCGTGACCGGAGACGGACCAGCCCTCAGAGAATAATAGTGTAAAAGAGCAGCTTAATGGTGCAATATTTCGTACGATAAGTGTTAGAGTATGGTAGACCTGAGGCATGACTTTGCTCTTATCGGGGTTCAGTTTGATTCTCCATTTTCTGCACCAATCGCCTAGTGCGTTTGCTGCAGCTTGGAGTCGACTGCAGATTATAATAGGGTGGACGTCTGAGGAATAGATTTCCCTTTACCATCAAGCTATTTAGTTGACTTTTGCGAGATACTACAAAACAAAAAGAGGTTGAGTTCTCTTATGCTTTTTGTATAAGTAAACATTGTAATATAAATTCCCATTCTTATATATACGATAAGGAATACGGCTTACCTCGCACTGTTTCTTAGCATCCCATGTAACACCAGGGGCTGCTCCGAATCGCTCATGAAGGAGCTCATCCGGAACCTCTTCATCGTCACCACCGTCTAGTAGACATGTGGCCCATCTAAAATATTTAAGTACTGAATTATTATTATTACAAATAAAACAAAACTCAGTATGCAAACTGAAGCTATGGGGCTGGTTGCTCCTCTTAAATTTCAAAATATTTACAAGGAGTTCAAACCTCACTAACATCACTGAAATTGTTAAAAGACGTATTCGGCGGCAAAGAAAAACACTGCTAGAGGAAACTTGCATGTTTGGAAAAGAAAAATATTTTGAGGATATGCGAAGTTCGCTAACATGCATTGGGATAACGCGGTGAACTGTTTTCTGCTTCAAAAACCAAGAGTTCCGGACCAAGAGATTGACCGTAGGAAGGCTGTTATTTTCCAATATTTTCGCATGTATTTGAAATTCAAACTACATGTGCCACATTGATTCACAAAGATAATTCTACTTTACCAATTTGAAATCGATTACGAAATGAATGAATTTATTTTTGGTTGACAACGAGTTTCATCATCATCATCATATTTACCGCCCATTATAGATCAAATGTATTTATTTCTTAATTACCAAAATCTTAGATAATGTGAAGCAAACGACACAGATAGAGAATGAAAGCGCGCTGACTTTTACTGTATTGCTTCACGATTACTGATGATTAGTATCTCGGTCTTTTCGTGGTGTTTTGATTCCTTCTTCGTGATATCAAAAAGATTGCGTGATTGTACTTTTATTATTTTTATTATATAACACAATTTTTACGTGGTAGAGCCATGCTGCAGCTATATTAGTAGTACAGTTGTAGCACGAATGGGTCGGCTCGACCGAGTTAGGACCACGCTCTCACAGAATACCAGCGTAAACTAGCAGCTTCATGCTGCTGTGTTTCGTATGGTGAGTGTAGAGAACCGGAGACCCTTTTTGCTGGAAAAGAGGCGTTCCATCTTAGTCCTCACGGGTGACAACGCATCTGCATTTTGATTCGCAAACGAGGATAGATGTAGATGTCTATGGGCCACAGCAACCACTTACCATCGTGTGGACTGTGTGCTCGTTTGTCACCTTATCCTATAAAAAAAAACATATATAGTTGGTGATCGTCAGCTTTTAAAAAGTTTTGAAGAATGTGTATCTAATCAGACACGCATTTCTTGAACGAGTTGCCCATACTCACCTTGCAGGCATATATATTAGTGAGCTCAGAGCTAGGATCCTCGTGCTGGTACAGCTACTGCTTCTCATCACCAGTTTCTGGTAATTATTGGCATTTTTATGGACTTTCCGCCGTCAGTCGGTCGTAAATTCCGCGTTTCTATACTCGTACTTCCGAATTCTTTCATAGTTAGTAATTAAAGATAAAACCGATATTCTTACTGCAGGTCGGCGACGACCTTGGCGCTGCACCGCGACCACGTGGCTTCCCCGTGCGTGCCGCGCGACGGCGACATGATGTAGCCGTCGCGTGCGCATGAGTTGCCTGTGCCGTCGTGGTGCATACCGAGGCTGTAAACCAACACCAACACTTTACTATTTAGGGCCACGATTATCGTATTTTCAACACAATTTTTTATTTTACTGTTAGTTTAGTTGATTCTTCTTGAAACAGTATATGCTCGGAAAAAAATATGAATAATCACATAAACAAATAATCGAATGGATTTTTAAATTACTTAATATTAGTCGAGATTTAAAAAAAATATAATTTAATTACCGGGAAAAAACTTTGATGTATCTTTTTTTAAGCGATAACCATATAACATTTTTGATAATATGACAGGCATGTCATTGAATTAGATTCTTCATTAACTACATTTTTATTTAGGTCCTTTATTTCCTAATAATAAGCCAAATCTTATTAAATAAAATAACAAATATGCATGCAGCGGAGAAGGGAGGAAATTCTCGCCTTAAGTAGTTTTGGCAGAAACTCGACCGTCGGCAGTTCGCTGCTCCTGTATAATCATTATAGTAATTAATCGTTTTAAGTAGATTTTGATACGTAAAAGTGGTGCGATCCCATATATTCAAGGTATGTGCACGTAAAATGTCAGTGGTTACGATGAAACTAGTGCTCCTTGTGAATATCTATGTTAATAATAATATTTTGATACTATCGTCTTTGAATGTTTAACCTCACCTTTTACGATATGCTAGGCAGTTTTTTTATTTATTTTTTATAGGAGAGGGGGCAAACGAGCATACGGCTCACCTGATTGTAAGCGATTACCGCCGCCCATGAACAACTGCAACACCAGGGGAATCGCTGATGCGTTGGCGGCCTTTTAAAAGGAGTATACTCTTTTCTTGAAGGTCCCTAAGTTGTATCGGTCCGGAAAAATCACTGGTGGTAATCGATTCCACAAGGAAGTGCGAAGAAGAAAACTTCTTTTAAATCGCACAGTGGTGGACCGCCAGTAATGATTGGGTCATTCTTTTTTGTTGTTGGTAAGTCACACAAAATAGGCAATTGATTTATAGTTCCAGATCAACACTGAAAAAAATCTTAGCCGAAATAATATATTCTGCTACAAGTAATGTATACTGTATATGCAACATAAAGACGTTCACTCGTCCTAATCTTCTCAGATCGGTGTCAGCTATAGGATAGGATATAGTATCTGAGACACGGGATAATTACAACACAGTTTGTTTGACCCGAAACCAAAAATTAGTTTTTTAACACAGAATCTATAATTTAATGAGCAAATCGACCTTGCTTCCTGAATTGATTAAAATGAACGACCGACCGATAAACGACGCAACCGTACGTACCGTAGTATTTGAAAAAAATTAATGTTAACGATAATTTGTTCAAATTCACTTGTTGCTACATTATGTGTTAAAAAGCTTTTAAAGTTTAGTTTTCTAAAAGCTTTTACATGTGTTTTAGATTGATATTGCTTATGCTTTCGACATGCTCCCTTAAACTATCTAGGTTATAATCTATGAAATTTTGCAAATATTGTTTCTATATCGTCGAATCAATAGCACTTGTTTTTGGAGATATATACCTAATGTTACTACGTTTTCTTACAAAAAAGGAATCATGTTAGTTATATTAATAACACTGACTGAAGCCCATGAACTGCAACTATTTATAACAATTTGTAATAATAAAATATAGAGTAATAGTGTTGTCACAATTACCCATTTTGTTCCATGGGTATAGTTAGAGGCAACTGTTGGAAATGCTTAAAAGATCTCGTAACTTCCGATAGATGGCGGCACAAACATATCCTTTACGTAAAAATACACTGACCGCCGACGGCAAGCAGCGACAAAGGTGCGAGACGTCCCGTACTGTGATCGCCAATCCACCAGCCAAGCGCGAGGATTAAGTAAAATTACAACAAAAGGGCCCATGTCCAGCAGGGGACTTTTAAAGGTTGCTCAAGAAGAACAACAAATAGCAAAAGTAGTGTAATTAAAACAGACTTATGTCCAATTTCATGTGCGAGGATGTAAACGGAGGTGAAGCCGGCGGAGGGGTACGGCCGGCCCAGCAGGTCGCTGGTGCCGAACTCGGCCACCACACACGCGTGCGCCGCCAAGCACACGCCGCCCACCGGCGCCAGACCCATCGTTACGCCGTTGCGTCTCCCGCCCTCCTCCGAATACAAGTCCAACCTGGAAACATGAGCATATTATATAGCGTTTTATTATCGTATACAAAAATCATTCAAATACAAGCAGAGGAAATTCATTTCATTTTAGTAATTTTTGCGCGTGATGTATATAGATCACTCTTCAAGAAGCGAAGGTCGATAGAGGTAAAGCTGTGATTTCAAAATAAAGAAGCACAACGTTGCTTCTTTATTTAGAAGGCACAACAAATCAGAAGATGGGCAGCAGCCTCTTCCTAATAACGACTAAAAATTAAAAAACTGAGGTGGCCAATCTGCTTGCCAAGCATGCAAGTATGGCAAATATTTACCCTATGGGGCAATCTATGAGCCTATCTACGGCCTGAGAGCAACTGTGGGGTTTTTATAGGCTGTATTGAATGAAAATTGATGAATAAACGAGTTTAAATCTGGTACAATGAAAAAATTATAATTTGAAATAAAAATATTAACGAACCCAGAAAGCAATAGCGCCATATCCCAATGCTGTGGATCGTCGTCATCTTCTACGTTCAGCGATCTCTGGTAAGCACAGAAAGAATCAAGCAGGCGCTCCCGCTCAGCGTGTAGTGGCAAATCGTTTGGCTGCGAGCGCAACAATGTCAGACGCACCAGTGATAGTTGGATACGGGTGCCTAAAGATGCGTGCTGGTATAATGCTTGGACCTGTAATAATTAAATTGTATTATCATAATTAGTATGCTGAAAATCGGTGGAAGTTAACAGGCCTAAGAGTAACATTAAATTCCCATTGGTACTAATAAATTTTTAATAACAATTTAAAGAGTAAATAATGGCATAAATTAATTGCGTGTAACGAAAGACATATTGTGAGAAAACACGTTGACTTCTAATCCAAAAAAATTCGGATTTGATGTATTTGTGTACAATCTGTTTTCGGATTTTCACAAACCATTGTCCAACTATGAAACCTATCTGGACACAAAGTGAAGAATCACAAATGTAACATTTTCTTTTCTGAAATAATGCTTAGATTAATTTTAATATTATACTAATATATGATGAAAATACATTAAGTGAATTCTTCGTATGTTGATATCAACTGAATGAGCCACAGAGCACGGCATAGCCGTAGGCCGTTGGCCGGTGCAGTGGCGTGGCGGCGATGCTCTGTGGGCTGTATAAACAAAATTGTTTCAAATGTACTTGACACAAAGTGTATATTATATGACCAATAGGCATTTACTAACTTCTATAAATTTACTGCTGAATGAAAATGAAGACGTTTTCCAACTTCAGCAACTAAAGGTAAGGCATGTTATATAACAAGTTTTACCCATACACACCACGCTGGGAAGGCGAGTTTATGAGTGCAGAAACGATAACCTCGCACTAGTTATGCTGCTCCCCCATCACCAGTCTGTGAGATTTGATGCATTTTTAGATAGATTCTCCATCATCAGTCGATCGTCAATGCGTCGTTTGTTAGTTGTGGTTATGGTGCATCGCATGCAAATTATGTTATTATTTAAAGAAGAAATAGTTACAGCTCCTTTAGTGGCACTTGTACACCATCAGATGCCTCCTACCTGCAAGATCTTTTCGGAAATCACTTATGAGACAGCAGATCCTGTATATACGTTATAGAGTCTCAATGCAGCTACATTATGAGTTCCATGTGGTTGTTGCACGAATGGGTCAGCTTGACCGGAAAAGTACCACGCTCACACCGAATATTAGCGTAAAATGCAACAACAATGTAGGTTTATCTGGGCAATGCAGTATCCACTTAAAATCAGATGGACTGTGTGCACGTTTGTCTTGTCGCTTTTATATGCGGTAAGACGGATGTATAGAATACAAGATTGTGAGGTTCCGTAGGGTTAATAGTGAGATCCCTACGGCCAATCCCATCTGTAACACGCTTCTTTGTGTCGATTTGCTTAGAGAGGGCCATGGAACACAGAGTATGGAGTAGAAATTGACGTCGTTGAAAAATCACAGTGATTTTTTAAATTGCGCCCCATAGAACCGTACTTAAAGTAGCATATAGTTAATCTGACACATTTAAGGGTGGCATTTCTTTGGTAAGACCCTCTTAAATTAATAAGGGTTTTAAAAAAGATATCCCAATTTTGGGAGACCGAGGCAGAAAATACGCCACTTCTATGTATTATTAGTAGGGTTCATAGTCTTATGTGGCTTAATGCTTATATGCACATAAGAACAGCTATTGAGAATTACAGAGGATGGCCATATGGAACTGATAGGATACGAAGGGAGATGGTCGAGGTAATTAAGTGGTAAATCGCTTTTACGCGTCTCGCTCGGTTTCTCGAGGAGCGTTGTGTTAGCTACGTGGCAGTATGCTTATTTACAGCATGCTTTCAGAGTGTATACATTTGCTACTTAACAGTTAGGCTTCAGAAAAATATGTACTTATTCCGCGCATTTTTGTTGAGTGAATTAAATTTTGGTATATTAATCTTTGGAGCAGATTTAATTTTAAAGTTATTATAGAAGGAAACACTAGACGAAGACAATAATTTGGGGAGGGAACTGGATCTAGGAGCAAGTGATTATTTACTAAATGAATTATTAAATTAATACTAAATATAATTTTTAAAGTTGTTTCATCGCCCCATCAAACCATGGCGTCCTTCGCACTTCACAACAAATTAAAGTAGCATGCTCGCAAATATCACGTTCAGAATTGCTTTTAAGCATGCATATAATAAAATAGACAGGCTTCCGATTTGCGATTAAGTAGTGTGCTTTTTACTCCTTCTTCCTCCTTCCATCCAATCCAGCCGCACTTTGGTATAGTGGCGGTTTGGATGACTTCTCTACTGACTTACACAGATAATTACTGTTTTAGCATAGGTGCCTCGATGATAATTTGTGTGAGATCTGCTCCCATTCTGGTGGCAAACTGCTTCCATTTCATTGCATTTGCATGTATTCCATACTCTTGTTGTATGCCCAATGGACGAACGAAAGCAGTTCGGAATGATGGAAACCCCGAACTTATTTGAACCCGAGGTTTCAGGTTCGGGAATAGTCTCGACACATCATATGACTACTGTAAGACTACTGAGGATAGCAGACTATACCGCACCTGGGACGTGTTTTAGCAAAGCGAAAGAGGAGCTCCGATTAGGTTACTTATAAATCGAGATCCCGAAACCCCTCGCATGAGGTGATAGTGACTACCATGTTATTTTAGCCGGTAGGTAAGATTTCTACAAATAAATAAATCAATGTTCAGATATTAACTATAGGCATGAATATAATAAATAGCATACAGCTATGTAAATATTTTAAAGTAGTGTAAAATTCACTACAGTGCTTTCCATCGCCCTAGGAAATTGAAATTTTGGGCAACAGACTAAGCAACGGGAGAAACTGTGGCGCGACCACAGCGCCGCCACGAAACTAAACCTATAAAATATACTTTTATATACATTTTTTAAATATACATAAATATACATATTACATTTCTCAGGAAATGATTTGCGCTGGTTGTTGTTACTCGCTAAAATTATATAACATTTTTTTTTATAGAATAAGGGTGACAAATGACCACACAGTCCACCTGATGGTAAGTGGTTCCTGTGGCCGATAGACATCTACATCTATCTTCGTTTCCGAATTAAAATGCAGATAAGTTGTCAGCCGTGAGGACTAAGATAGAATGCCTCTTTTCCAGTAAAAAGGGTCTCCGGTTCTCTACACTCACCGTACGAAACACAGCAGCATTAAGCTGCTATTTTACGCTGGTATTCTGTGAGAGCCTGGTCCTTCCCCGGTCGAGCCGACCCATTCGTGCTGCTAGAACTATACTATTAATATAGTTGCAGCATGGCTCTACCGCGTAAATATCATGTGTATCATATTTACGAGTATCATAGTATGTACATGCTCTCTGTAATACAGTTTTGAATTTAGGGAACTAGACAGTTACTGGAAAATTCTTCCATATTAATCCTACACATAAGCATTGATTTGGACGTTGTAATCGTTTGTAAATTACATATTTAAATTGACATGTTATTGAATTAAGTATAAAAATATAATAAAAAAGATCGTTAAAACTTACTCCGTTTACATACGCGAGCAGCATATCACGCAGATCGGCTTCATTATAGTTGAGGAAAGGGTAGAAAAGTCTGTAGGCCGCTTCATCGAGAAAAAGTGCGACCTCGATAGTGTATTTGGCGGGCGCGTGTAAATGTACTCGAGGCCGACGCGGCCGAGGCGCGCGCGGGCGGATGTACCGCGCGTCGTCGTTCGTCGGCTGCGGCGGAGGCGCGCGCCGTATCACGTGCGCCGTACGTCCGCCGCTATCTTCCGCGCGACCTGCGCCCGTCGGTAACGGACGAACTTCATATGTCGAATTGTCCGTTACTATTAAACCGTGCTGAAAATTAGCAAATTGATAGGATTATGTAGCAGTTAATAATTAAATTATGGGCTTCATGCCCCATCTCACCTCAATACAAAATAAACACGCGCAAGTTATAAGTATTTTTTTTTAAAAGATTCGTTCATATTTTTACTTGTTCTCTACACTCAACATACGAAACACAGCATTATAAAACATCTATTTCACGCTGGCATTCTGTCAGAATATTCCTCCTATGAGGCAATCTACGGCGAGGCCTATGTTCAGCATTCGACTTTATAGGCTGTACTGGATGGATGGAATATGTGAGAGCGTGGTCCTTCCCCGTCGAGATACTCATGCTACGAACATATTTTAACTGCAGCATGGCTCTACCGCATGATGTACTTCAAAGATTTTGTATGTTATTACTAATTTTGCATAGCTCGTTGAAAGGCCTATTTTTGTATTTGTTTACAGTTTATATTTACTTTAAAAAGTAAATATAAAATGTAAAGTGTAATACAGCACGGTCACAGGTTGCACGCAATGCGCCAGTAATGATTTTTTTATAGAATATGGGTGACAAGCACACAGCCCACATTTTGTAAATGATTGTAAGTGAATGCTGTGGCACAAAGACATCTACATATATCCTTAATTAATAATCAAATGCAGATGCGTTGTCACCCCTGACTAAGCTGGAATACCACAACGGACTAAGATGGAATACCTCGTATCCAGTAGAAAGAGTCTCCGGTTCTCTACCCTCAACATACGAAACACATTACAGCATTAAGCTTCTGTTTTACGCTGGTACCCCAGTCGAGCCGACCTATTCGTGCTTCAACCATAATATAGCTGCAGCATGGCTCTACTATATCTATATAGGATACCAATGGGAAATAATAGGTTAAAATCTAAGGACACATAGTTTCTTACAGTAGAAGGGATTATCGAAAATGCAGTTGTTGATCTGAACGAGCAACTTCGCCACTTCAAGATCTATGTGAAGAAAGTGCAATTAGACATCTTTACAGATGTGAAATAACGTCAACGACCTGATGAAGCTATCTTGCAAATTGATTTTGTTGAAAAATGGACTATTTTGACAGTGATGTTGATTAATAAGATATTAATATGACACATGAACGTTATGGTAAAAATGGATGTCTATTTTTTTATAAAATTACAAGTGACAAGCAAACTTACCTGATAGTAAGTTGCTACTGCAGTCTGCAAAGAGGGCTACAAATGCGTGGCTCCCTCTGAGGACTATGTCCCAAGTGTGGAATGCCTTTTAGAATATTATTACACTGGGTCTCTATAGCCTTGAAATCAGTACACAGCTGTGCGAAAATAGGTAAAAGGTTGTTACCCAGACCCCAGAGGGACTCCTAGGAAATAAAGGAGACTTGTAGGACGACTTTTTTAGAAACTATTTATTATTTTTAGTTCTTTGAACTCTGCTTTTACTTTTTGATCGTTATAAGAGGAATAAGGAATATCACAAGTTTCAGGTAACAACTATAATGTCATCTAAACAGTTACATTAAAAAACTTTATCCATTATTTCTCCTTTGAGGTGGATTTTTTCTCCACATTTATTTTGGAACCCTGAAGCATAAACAATTTAATGAAAAAACAATCAATATCTAAATTCAAGTGACGAAGACACAAAAAATAAATTAAATACAAAAAAAAAGAAAACAATACACAGTCAAATTTAAGACCTCCATTTTGAATACGAAAATTAGCCAATCTTCTGTAAAAGAAATATCAGGGTTGCAAATTGTATAAAATTTTAACACATCTATAGAAAACATGTAACTACTAGAAATGTCCTACCAGTGACAATGGAATGGTCCTTATTATACTTTTTACTTTTTTATTATACTTTAGAACATTGGGTATATTAGATAATTAATGGATAATAGAATAAAGTATTTGTGAGGCCATCCTCACCACACTCAAGGTTAGAGGCTTTGTCGTAAATTTTGTGCTTCAGGCCAAAAGATCAAACCAGTAAAATATGCTACGGTTTTTGTTAAATATAAATTATTACTAACTAGCACGTGATCTTTACAAGCTGAAAACGCAGCGACGGTTGTAGGACCAGCATGCAGATAATGACAGGAATTTTCAATAGTAGATAGCGGGGTCTCCTCCCCCCGCTCCGACCACACAGAGAATTGCGGTGACATCAGCCGCCTATTTGGTACCAGCTGCAAGTCGAAGCTCCTGTAATTGGGACCATTTTTTGTCTTTTAATAAAATAAACATTGCATAATAATCTATATCTATAAATAAAATTATAAAAATATATACATTAATGTGTGTATTTATTTATATATGTATATGAATTATATATATTATATATATATATATATATATATATATATATATATGTGTGTATATTTTATGTATGTGTTACATGTATATATTTGAACTGTATTATATCATGACAACTTAACTGCCGAAACTCACTCTCTGTTCTACCCAAGGTTAGCTGGTAGAGAATGCCATATAGCATTAAGCTCGCCTTTTGTACAAATATTTGGTGCAATAAAGAATAAATAAATAAATAAATACGTATAAATAAAATTGAAGTGTCAGTCTAATAAAACAGTTCACATAGTTTTCAAGATAATTGCATGCAACTGAGCTTAAACATCATTTTGTACTAAATCTATGGTTTAAGTTTAATGTGATGTTTCGATTATTAAAGTACTTGCAGAAATACCAGCATTATAGATGTAGGGTTCGTTATTTCCACGCGGATAAAATCGCGAATAAAAGCTGGTAATAGTAATATTGTATAGTTAATTAATTAACTAACATCCATTAGACATAAGAGTCAAACTTTAAGATCTCTGTAGTCGAGACTACTGATGTTGATAATCAGTTATTAATTACATATTTATACAAATCCTATAAAAATATATTCATGGTTGAATTAAAAGACGGTTAAATGAGAACACATTGCTACTTAAGAAACAACTGTGGAAATAATCGATTATTAGCGTTAATACTCGGATATAAGTGAACACATATAGTAATTAGCACAATAAACACTTCATGCCGACGCAACGTACGTATCATTAGTGTGTGACAGAAGTTAAACCAAGAATTAGAATTCTCCTTTCGTCTTTTCACTCGTCTCTTAAATACATAAAAAACGGGACAAATTAGGAATAGAATGCACGCCCTGAGGATACAGTATGACCTGAGGAAAGTACCTAGTTTCGTAAAAATAATTAATGTTATTGAAATTCATAAATTATGATTAAAGAAAGTATTAAACACAATACTGTAACGTAAAAGTAGGTCGAGTTAAAAGATAAACTTAGCTTTGTGGTGGAAAAAATTTTTCTCTTATAACTATTTGCTATTATTTTTACTACGTTACAAAAAAAGAACCTTGACAGACGAACAGACGAATAACAATAAAATTGTCCTAGGCATCGGTTTCTTCTTTTGAGGAATGGAACCCTAAAAAGAAAGTACTTAAGAAAATCGTTTCTTGAATTTATTATTATTAATGTAAATAAGTCTGCTATTCCTGGCTACGGTAGCGACCATGGTAACGGCGGGGCAGGGGGTGCAAAGGATCTCTGGTGGAGGTTCGGTTGCCCCCTAAAACGACTCGACCTGGCAACATACAACGCACGCACCCTGAGGACTGACGAGAAGATCGTGGAGCTGGAAGAAGAGATGGACAAGTTACGCTGCTATATTATAGGATTATCCGAAGTCCGAAGAGAGAGGGAGGGCACGGTAATCCTCGAATCCGGCAACTTGTTTTATCACCGGGAAGGCGACCATCTGTCCCAAGGAGGTGTCGGATTTATCGTCCACAAGTCTCTCGTTAACAACGTTGTAAAGATTAAGGGTATGTCGACGAGGGTTGCGTACCTTATACTCAGAATCACCAAACGGTATTCGCTGAAGGTCATACAGGTTTACGCACCAACCTCGGCACACCCTGATCAGGAGGTGGAGGAAATGTATGAGGATATCTCTAGAGCCATGCATTCCTCCAAAACCCACTATACGGTGTTAATGGGAGACTTCAATGCAATACTAGGCACAAGAGAGAACGGTGAGCTGAAAGTAGGGAAATTTAGAATAGGGCAAAGGAACCCAAGGGGCCAGCAGCTGGCCGACTTCATGGAGAAAGAGGAACTCATTATGATGAACTCTTTTTTCCAGAAGCGGCCTCACAGGCAGTGGACCTTCGAGCCCCGACGGTTCGACAAAAATGAGATTGACTTCATTATGACGATCAGATGACAACTGTTCAGTGATGTCTCCATGATCGCGAGGGTGAAAACTGTTAGCGATCACCGAATGGTTAGAACCTAAACTATTGTTAAGTTGGAGAGGTCTCGTCTAATGAAGTCAACGCTCCGTCCCCCTCGTGCTCTGTTCCAAAGTCCCGAAACCTTTCAGCTCGAGTTACAAAACCGTTTTCTGTGCCTAGAAGACTGCAATGAAGTGGACGATATGAATGACAAGCTCGTGGAAACTGTCCATGCGGTTGGAGCTAAGTTCTGCAAGACCCGCCGCAGAAGAACACAAAAACTCTCCGATCACACCCTTAATCTCATGTCTGTTAGGCGGAAGATGAAGCTACACCTTCAACAGATTTGACAGCATACAGGCAACTGAACAGACAAATCTCCAAATGCATGCGGCGGGACTTACGCAACTTCAATACAGCTTGTATTGAAGAAGCGATCGAGCGAATCGATGCTCCAAAGTCTTTGCCAGAGATCTGTCTGCCAGAAAAAGCCAACTGTCAAAACTGAAGACGGAGTGTCGCAGCATCGTTTCCGGGACACCTGAGATTTTGAGTGAGATTGAGAGGTTCTATGGGCAGCTGCACACGTCAACGTTGGAGCCACACGCAAGTGTGAGTAAGAGCGAGTCTTATCCGACACTATTCCGAAGATATCCCGGACGTCAGTCTGAGCGAGATTAGAATGGCTCTCCAGCACCTTAAAATCGGCAAGTCCCCGGGCGAGGATGGAATTACAGCGGAACTTCTGAAAGCGGGTGGAAAACCGGTACTTGAAGTCCTTCAGAAGCTCTTTAATTCCGTCCTCCATGGTGGCACTACTCCGGAAGCGTGGAGCAGAAGTGCGGTGGTCTTGTTCTTCAAGAAAGGCGACAACGCTCTCTACTACTAACTACAGACCGATTTCCCTTCTGAGCCGCGTCTACGTGCTGTTTTCGAGAGTCTATACGAATCGTCTCGCACGCAGACTTAACGACATCCAGCCTCCCGAACAAGCCGGTTTCCGAAAAGGCTTTAGTACATACATACCCTGCGGCAGATTGTACAGAAGACCGAGGAGTATAATCTGCCACTTTGCCTTGCGTATGTGGATTATGAGAAAGCCTTTGATTCCGTCGAAATTTGGGCGGATTCAGTCCCTTCAGCGGTGCCAAGTAGACTGTCGGTATATCGAAGTGCTGAAGTGTTTGTACAGTAGAGCTACGATGGCTATCCGAGTACAGCATCAGAGTACGAAGCCTATCCTACTGCAGAGAGGTGTAAGACGGGGTGACGTTATATCCCCGAAAATCTTCACCGCTGCATTGGAAGACGTTTTCAAGCTACTGGACTGGAAAGGATGCGGTATTAACATCAACGGCGAGTACATCACTCACCTTCGATTTGCTGACGATATAGTCCTTATGGCAGAATCGCTGGAGGACCTAAGCATTATGCTCAATGACCTCAATAGTGTCTCCCAACGGATAGGTCTTAAGATGAACATGGACAAAACAAAAATCATGTTTAACGTCCATGTCACACCTATGCCGGTAGTTGTTGGGAGCACTAGGCTCGAAGTTGTTGACGAGTATGTTTATCTGGGACAAATAGTTCGACCAGGTAAGTCCAACGTCGATCGAGAGGTAAATCGACGGATTCAACTCGGCTGGGCAGCGTTCGGGAAACTACGACACATTTTCTCTTTAGACATACCTCAAAACCTGAAAACGAAATTGTACAACCAGTGCGTGTTGCCAGTGATGACCTACGGATCTGAGACGTGGTCCTTCACTGCTGGCCGGATGAGGAAGCTCAAGGTCGCTCAGCGAGCTATGGAGAGGTCTATGCTCGGGGTGTCTCTGCGTGATAAACTTAGAAATGAGGATATCCGCAGTAGAACCAGAGTAATCGACATAGCCCAACGGATTAGTAAGCTGAAGTGGCAGTGGGCTGGCCATATAGCTCGAAGAACCGACAACCGATGGGGAAGAAAGGTTCTCGAGTGGCAGCCTCGTACCGGTAGACGAAGTGTAGGGCGACCCCCCATTAGATGGAGTGACGACCTGGTGAGACATGCAGGAAGTCGATGGATGCATGTGGCTCAGGACCGTGCTTTGTGGCATTCCTTGGTGGAGGCCTATGTTCAGCAGTGGACTTGTGATGGGCTGTAATGATGATGAATGTAAATAAGAATAGCTATGATATCCCAGAAAAAGCAGCAAGTTTTCTCGAAGAGATATACCAGAGTGTAATAACTATCCTTAGGACTTATACTCGGGCCCTGCTTGGTAGATGTAATTATCCTGATTACTACTCTGAAGAAGTAATTAAATTAATCGAATACAAAGTTTTAGATTTAAAATGGAACCCTAAAATTTTCATTCAGAAATTTATATTTTCCCCACAGTGTTTGTTACAGGTCGGATATTTATTAAACTAATAATACATATTTATTTATATAACAAACGCCTCGTACCTTTGGTTCTGCTCTCTGTCACCAGACTGAGTATTTTGCATGTGATATAAATATACGAGACGGTTATATCGCAATTTATCGATGGCCATGAATTCTTTTAGGATCCCTGTTACGAGTATATTTCGATATTTATTACGATATTTCCCTGTCGTCTCTAACAACACCTTCGAGCAAAATGGGGTGACGAATTCTGTGAAACAATTACTACACGGCCCCATCATAAGGCAAATAAAATTTAATATACTATTACTTATGAAACAAATTATAATAATACATCAATGTTTAAATTTAAGTCAATAATAAATTAAGCCTCATAGAAAATATAATCTTAGATAATATAGATCCCAAAAGACCAATTGAAATCAATTAGTCAACTCCAGCGTACATGAAAATTATTTGATTTAAAACAATTAACTGAATTGACTCATCCTGCATTCCTATTAATAGTATTTATTTGTGTTAACATCGTTGAATACTGAGCGG